TATAACAGAATACCTGGGATGCAAAATCAACAAAGAAGAAAAACAAACAAACAGTGCACCACAAAAATGGAAGGTTAGACTAGAAAATAAGATCAGCAAGTTAAGATCACATGCAAGCAAGCTAGAACAGATGAAAGAAAAGAAGCTGAAGAACAAGAAGACCAAAGAATACCTAATCAAGAAATACCACTTAGAAACAAGGAAGATCAAGGAAGCACTGGAAATAATAAAGCAACAAATAACAGCTATAGCCAGGAAAATCAGTAGATATGAAGCTCGAATTGCAAACTATAGGCAGAACCTCCAATTTCAATCCAATCAGAAACGTTTCTACCAATCCATCAATGGAGAAACTGCAAGGAATCAGTCAGTACCTGACAAGGAAGAAACAGTGCAGTTCTGGAAGCAGATATGGGATAACCCAAAGAAATACAACAAGGATGCGGCTTGGTTAAAAGAGGTGGATGCAAATAAAACAGAAGTTGAAATGAAAGAACTAGTAATAACAACAAAAATGGTAGAAAAAAGAGCAAAGAAAATCAAAAATTGGTCAGCACCAGGTGAAGATGAACTGCATGGGTTTTGGTTGAAACATCTAACTGTTATACACCCACTCATTGCCAAACAGTTCAACAATATACTACAAGGAGGAGAAATTGAAAAGTGGCTAACAACTGGGAAAACCTACCTAATAATGAAAAATCCAGCAAAAGGGGCAACACCAGGTAACTACAGGCCAATTACCTGCTTACCAACAACTTTCAAATTACTGACTGGTGTAGTAGCTGATGCAGTGCAACAGCATCTAGTTGAAAACAATCTCTTTCCACCTGAGCAGAAAGGAAACCGCCCCAACAGCAGAGGAACAAAAGATCAACTCCTAATAGACAAAATGATCTTGGAAAACTGCAAGAGAAGGAAGACCAACCTGAATGTGGCATGGATTGACTACAAAAAGGCATTTGACTCTCTGCCACATGATTGGATAATAAGTGCCTAGAAATAACAGGAGTCAGTAGAAACATCAGAAAATTTGTGCAAAGATCGATGGCACAATGGAAGACACAGTTGCAGATCAATGGTGAGAGGCTGGGAGAGGTTAATATCAAGAGAGGAATATTTCAAGGAGATTCATTATCACCATTACTATTTGTTATTGCACTGTTTCCTCTGTCAACAATACTGAATAACTCAGGACATGGCTATCAAACATCAAAAACATCTGCCAGACTATCCCACCTCCTTTATATGGATGATCTGAAGCTGTATGGAAAAACATCATCTGAAATAGAATCGCTGCTCAACACTGTCCGTATATATAGCCAAGATATTGTAATGGAGTTTGGCTTGGACAAATGTGCCACACTTACTATCAAACAAGGAAAAATAATGAAAACTGAAGGAATCAAGATGCCCCACGAAAATAACACTTAAGAGTCTGGATGAGGAAGAGTACTACAAATACTTGGGTATCCTTCAAGCTGACAACATCAAGCACACTGAAGTCAAGAAAAAGATTAGAGGTGAATACATCAAGAGAGTGAAGAAGATCTTAAAATCCAAACTCAATGGAGGAAATACCATAAAGGCAATCAACACCTGGGCAATCCCAGTCATTAGGTACACAGCTGGAATAGTGGACTGGACTCAAGCAGAACTAAAAGCAATGGATAGGCAGACCAGAAAAATAATGACAATGAATCATGCCCTTCATCCACGCAGTGACATTGATAGACTTTATCTACCAAGGCAAATAGGTGGGCGTGGAATGCTACAAGTACATCAGATGGTTGAAGAAGAAAAAATGGCTTTGGAAGAATATCTGAAGAACAATGATGAAGATGCACTGAAATTAGTATATCAGGAAGGCTTACTAACTACTGGAGAGACCAAACTGGCCTACAAGAAAGACCAAATGAAGAACAGAATAGAGGCATGGGAAGACAAAGCACTACATGGCCAATACATGAAAAAAATAGCTGGGAAAGCAGATAATAATAAAACCTGGCAATGGCTAAGAGCAGGAAAATTGAAGAAAGAGACCGAGGGACTAATTCTGGCTGCACAAGACCAAGCCTTAAGGACAAATGCATATAAAGTCAAAATTGAGAAGATAGCAACAAACAGTAAGTGCCGCCTATGCAAAGAAGCTGAAGAAACAGTGAACCACCTGGTAAACTGTTGCAAGAAGATTGCACAGACTGACTGCAAGCAGTGGCATGACAAAGTAGCAACAATGGTGCATTGGAAGATCTGCAAAAAATATCATTTGCCTGTAAGCAAAAACTGGTGGGATCATAAAATAGAGAAAGTCATAGAAAATGATAAAATTAAACTGCTCTGGGACTTCAGAATTCAAACAGACAAGCACCTGCAACATAATACCCCAGACTTAACAATTGTCGATAAGAAAGACAAAAAAGTCTGGATAGTGGACGTGGCAGTGCCTGGAGACAGCAGAATAGAAGAGAAAGAACTGGAGAAGATAACAAAATACAAAGACCTACAAATAGAAATAGAAAGACTGTGGCAAAAGCAAGCAAGGGTAGTACCAATAGTCATAGGCTCCTTGGGTGCAATCCCAAAACAACTGGAGCACCACTTGAACACCATTGGCATTGACAAATTCGCTATTAGTCAATTGCAAAAGGCGGCCTTATTAGGAACTGCTTCCATCCTGCGACGATATCTGTAATACCATCAAACATCCACATCTGCCTATCCCAGGTCCTGGGTAAGGACTCGATAGGTAGACAAAATGCCAAATCCAGTCTGAACATCTGGCTGACTGTGCGATGATCATCAACAACAACAACAACAACAACAACAACAATAATAATAGTAGTAGTAGTAAATTTGGAAGGGACCTTGGAGGTCATCTAGTCCAACCCCCTGCTCAGGCAGGAAACCCTATACCATTTCGGACAAATGGCTGTCCAGTTTCTTCTTAAAAACTTCCAATGTTGGAGCATTCACTGCTTCTGGAGGCAGGTTATTCCACTGGTTAATTGTTCTAACTGTCAGGAAGTTTCTCCTTAGTTCTAGGTTACTTCTCTCCTTGATTAGTTTCCATCCGTTGCTTCTTGTCCTGCCTTCAGGCGCTTTGGAAATAGCTTGACTCCCTCTTCTTTGTGGCAGCCCCTGAGATATTTGAACACTGCTATCATGTCCCCCCTCGTCCTTCTCTTCATTAAACTAGACATACCCAATTCCAGCAGCTGTTCCTTATATGCTTTTAGCCTCCAGTCCCCTAATCATTTTTGTTGCTCTTCTCTGTACTCTTTCTAGAGTCTCAACATCTTTTTTACAGCACCGTGACCAAAACTGGATGCAGTATTCCAAGAGTGGCCTTACCAAGGCATTGAAGAGTGGTATTAATACTTCACGTGATCTTGATTCTATCCCTCTGTTAATGCAGCCTAGCACTGTGTTGGCCTTTTTGGCAGCTGCAGCACACTGCTGGCTCATATTTAGGTGATTGTCTACTAGGACTCCGAGGTCCCTCTCACAGTTACTACTATTGAGCATGGTGCCACCTATGCTGTACTTGTGTATTTGGTTTTTCTTGCCTAAATGTAGAACCTTGCTTTTTTCACCATTGAATTTAATTTTGTTAGATAGTGCCCAGTGTTCAAGTCTGTCCAGATCCTTCTGTATCTTAAGCCTGTCTTCTGGAGTGTTGGCTATTCCTGCCAGCTTGGTGTCGTCTGCAAATTTGATGAGTTCCCCATCTATCCCTTCATCCAGATCGTTGATAAAGATACTGAAGAGCACTGGGCCCAGAACAGAGCCCTGGGGCAGCCCACTACACACTTCCCATTTGGATGGATGACATCAAAATAAAACTTTGGCTTGAATGAAAAGTTTTATGTTTGATGAAAGACAAACACTGCATTCTAGCACCTTGACCTATTAGTGAAACATGGTGGTGACAGTATCATGATTTGGGTTCCCCTTGCCTCTTGGGTATGATTCCTGTGTATGTGTTTTTTATGGTTGCAATCACATTGTAAGGTTCACTCTCTGGCACTTTTATTATTGTCCTTTAAACCATTAATTAAACAGACTTTTCCAAGACAAAATCAACCAAAGGAGAAATGTGGGTGACTATTTGGTAGATGAATAATTTAAAATGTACTTACTAGTCTTCTTCTCTCTACTACAGGGGAATCTGAGCAGAATTTTGGTCAGTTTATTTCCTTGAAGATCTACAGACATAAGTCATTATTATATTTTTTTCCCAGGAAGGGGATGGATACTTAAATTGAATTTAGATTACTAGCTAGATTATTTACAAAATATTTTTTTAAAAATTCATGACCTCCAAATGCTTAAAAGTATGGTAGGCAACTCCCCGGATGATTCCTTCTAGTTATCATGGGAGAGGCATTGCCTAAGTAAGGGGTATCAAACTCGCAACATCACGTGACGTGTCATGACATATCACAACTTTTTTGCCTTTGCTGGCAATGGGGTAGGTGCGGTTTTGCTATGATGCATCCGGCCTGCGGGCCAGCAGTCTGACACTAAGTGCCTCTAAAAAGTTATTTCCTTCTTCATCCTTCTTAAGAAATGCAGTTATGACTGGCAAAATGGAGAGCACGGAGGTCTCTGTAGACTTCTAAAGATTGAGTGTCAGTATGTTTCAGCAATTCTAGTCAACTAATACTTAAGTCTTTACATAAGTTTAGCCAAGCTGTAACTATCAATTGTATGTGAAATATCTTTCAGCTACTGTGCCATGAGTTCAACTGAGCAGATGGCATATATTTTTAATTCTTTCTCACTTACTAGTACTATACAATGTTTTTTTTTTTTGTAATTTTATACCAAATTGCTTATATGATACTCAAACCAAAATGGAATCCCCCTTTTTCAGGGATTATTTGAAATAGTCTTTATAAAAAAATATTTTATTATATAAATGATGTATTTTTCTTTAAGTATGCAATTATTTTCTTCACTTTTCCTTCACATCTTACAATTTCTATTTTATGCAGGAAATAGCGCGTTATCTCCGCCCTGGTACTCTCCGTGCTCGCTTTGGTAAAAACAAGATCCAAAATGCTGTCCATTGTACAGATTTACCAGAGGATGGACTTTTGGAGGTAAGGCTAAGTACATTTTTAAAATTATACTAGATTACAGGTTTTTTTAAAAAAAAAATTTAAATGCACATAGAAAATTATTTGAGTTTATATTTAACATGACAAATGTGTTTTTTAAAATAACCCTCTCTCCCTCCATGTACATATTACAACTAGCTGCAATAGGGAATTCTATTTCAAATTAGCATTTTATAGAATTAATTATCTTAAATCTATCAGTAGAGTGCATGCTCCTACTACTCCAGAAAGCATTGGTATACTCCACGTATCCTCTAGTTGGTAGGGCATAAGCAATAGTATGTTGTCTTGGAAATTAGATTCTCGGTTAGAGATCTTGCATAAAAAAGTGTGACTATTCATGAAGTAAATCTGAGTTTTGATAGCACTTGCCAAAATACTGGCCAATATTTGAAAAATAACAATTGCTGTGTGTGGCACAAGTATGACTGAGACTGGTAACTTAATCTACACATTCTCTACATCTCTGAAAAGCTTTATAAGAAAGCCTTGATTAATCAAAACCATGATGGATTTTGGATACCTGTTGATCAGTCTGATGATAACCATGGCATTGCAGTGCTATATTTCCTTTTCTTTTTTTCTGATCTCAAGCCTAATTTCTTTGCTTTAAAATTTATTATTAATTAATTTTATTATTATTTTTCCCCAAATCTTTATTATGATCATAAACTAGGATAGGAAGAGTAAACTTTAAAAGCCAAAAAGAATATGAAATATTCAAAGTTAAAAAAAACCAATACACACACAAACGCGCACATTCACACACTCTTTTTAAAACCTTATAAAAAGAGATTATGAAATATAGAGTATAAACACATAAAATCAATATATGGTTAACTAAATCTATCAATACAAAACTCAACTAATAAATCAAATACTCATTAAGGATAGTTTGAGGCATGGATTCTGATCACTGCTGTGCAAAATCTAGCAATAATATATGTATGTTGTGTCAGAATTAGTGTCTGCAAGCAGCAGGAAGGAATAAAATTATCTGGGGTGCTCTGTATTTCACCAGTACAGTATTGGTGAGATGATTTGTCTTCAGATCGTATAAATCTTTCTCTTTTTACTGGTTTTTTTTGTTCCACTTTGCATAATGTTGCTTAATTAAAAAGGTACACATGTATGTATATAACAATATTGCTACATTAACTGCAACTTAAAATAAATTTACTTTTGCTGATATTGTAGGATTGATGCCATAGAATTATTGTCTTACCTAAATAGGACAGATGTTCCCAGTTTTTATTATCTATCTGGCACCTGGTTTTTCTGGATAATTAATCCCCAGGGGAAATGTCATGACTTGCTATGCTACCATAATTTCTAATGTGATTAGCATGGTAGCACTGTTTTTTTCAAGCTTTCTGATTCTTTAATTTGCATTTTACTTTAATATTGTAAGCTTGATATAGTGTTGCCTTACTCAGCTAACCTGAAAAAAGTGCTTTATATATTACATACGGTACTTTTCATCTCACAACTGCACCTCATCCAACACTGGCAATAGATGACTTATCAGTGTTGCATAAATGTATATATAATTGAAGTACTGAATACTCTTCAGATTTCTTGATGATTGAAATTCATTATTTGAGATTCTTTGCTGAAATAAATATGTAATGCTTACCCCTTGCTTGTGACTTCAGGCAAATGTCACAAAAATGTGGCTTGTGTTAAACACAGGCACTTCAGAATTGGTCCTGCATAGTTAAAATATATTGTGGTACTTGCTATTATCTTCCAGTTTGTTATTACACATTAGAAAGTCAAGTTTGTGTAATTGCTGATTAGGCAAGCTTGTACTATTCTCAGTAATAAAGAGGAGACTGATGGAAGTGAGTGGTTTTTTTTTTTAACCAGAATAGAGAAACCATAGCTGTTTTGTACTATTATTGATTTAAGAGATGATTAAATGAATAGGTTTGGCATTGGACATTTAGGGTTAACTTCTTTAAAGTGAATTTCTTTATGGACTACCATAATTGCTAATAATTCAAATGGCAAGAAAGCAGATTGGAAGTTACAGATTTTTCACAGCACATATAATATCAGGTAGTGGTTTAATGTGGCCCTTAGTAACATTCAGCTTTTCTCAGTGGAAGTTAGTGAAAGTGAAACACTCTGGGTAGTCAGGTTCAAAAGAAATTAAGATACATGGATGGATCTGGTGAAGTGGATATAGAGAATAAGTAGTGAAGTATAAGGTTTCCTGCTTGAGCAGGGGTTGGACTAGAACACCTCCAAGATCCCTTCCAACTCTGTTATTCTGTTAAGTGGAGGACTGTGGTCTGAAAATTTGGACTGGATTTTGTAGTTAAGTAAAGTAGTTCTAGGTTCAGGAGAATTGCTTTGAACATTATTCTGGATCAGTCTTGCAACTCAGTTAAAATACAGTATGGAAATATGGTGAGTGCTTTGACAAAAAGGAAGTATAAGAAAGAAAGTATACCTCAAAATTATGTTTTATGCATGTGCATATATTCTGTATTATACTCACACACTTTGGACACATGCATATTGATCATCAGCAAAGCCTTCATTATAGTCTGACCCTGAACTCTTGGCTTTTTCCTTGTGAAAATGATTTCATTTAGTAAAGTGAAGTTAATAAATAACTCTCCCATGATTTATTTGAGCTGGAAAATAGGAGTAGGAATTAAAATGCTAATGGCTTTCTCATTATTTTCTCATTTTCATTCATAAAAGTTGAATTGCTATTCTATTTCTTTTTTTTAGTATCATTACAGTAATGTCACATGTATTTTTAGATCATCTTTAGCTTCCTGAATCAAAGACTATAGTTAATATGCATCTTAATATCTTTTGAATAACATTTTCACTTGAAAGTCATGCACTTTGACAGTGTAGATTCCAGAAAGAGGTAGTAATGTAAGTATATTCCAAGGTTTAGTATTATTTTTTAGATAAGTAAACTGGTGCTATAGAGAAATGATTATCCTTTTAATTTTAATTCTGATGTGAAATGTGGTTCTTAGAGAAAAAAATAATCACCTGGGCCTGTAAAAGCAGTTGGATGTTCTACCTGCCAGCACAGAAAAGAATTTAAAATCCCTCTCAGATTTCTTTGCAACTTCCCAGGGGATGTTGTAGCCAACAGAGTAAGAATTCTGAAACTATAGGAAAGTAGATTCTAATTGAATATAAGGGAAAAGAAGTACCATTAGCAAGAGGACCTTGATAGTAGTACCAGTAGCCCAGAGAAATTATATACTCACATTCATTGGTTAATGACTACACAGCCTTCTCTTGCAGAAATTTTAATTTAGATTCCTACACAGAGCACGGGCTTGGGTTCAATGGCTAAATGGCCATTTCTAATTGTATGATAGTATGACTTCATGCTTCTAGGAAAGAAAGTAGATATCATTAATATTGTATGGTTACTTTGATATGATGGCAACAATTTTTGTACGTACTTTCTCAGAATTAATGCTCAATACAGCTTGGTCCAAGACAACATCAGATGCCCAGCTGAATCATGGCTGAAGCACAGTCTGAAGTATCAAGTACATTAACATTGTCATCACAATAATTCAAAATAAGATAAGGAGTCAGTGCATTCAGCATTAGAGTTGCTCAGAGGGTTAAGGATGAACAGAAGCAGGAAGATTAGAGGGTATACACAAATAGAAATGTGCTGAAAGGCACAAATACCAAAACATAATTATTACTATGAAAATAATGATTTTTTTTGCAATAGTAGAAAAGCATTTAGCTTCTCAGGCATGCATGTGTTAAAAAGAGAACACTTAATAATTTTTATAACTTTAGAATTTTCCAGTGTTTTGACAGTGCTTTGGCTTTGTTTCTTTACTTTTTAGTAAACATTTCTAAGTTTGCATATTTCGTGGATCAACTTTATGATGCCCAATCACTTGTTGATATGGGCAACTAAAGAAATCAAATAAATAAATAAACTTTTGGCAGAATATTTTTTTTAAAAAAAATAAAGCTGTTTTTTTTTTTTTTTGTCAATTTCAGATAAAACCTTACCTCAATGGGATTTACAGATATATTATTCTAGTATAGAGATGTCTTGAAAAATGTTGAAGCTGGTTTAGATTCAGATTTATTAGCAAAAAAATGCATGAAGGATTTTCTAGGCCATTGCTAAAAGTTGCCTCTCTCAATGCCTCTACCAATGCAGGAAAACTAATTGGCTTCCTGTCACAATTTGGTGTTTCCCTTGTGGCTCTCCATTTCAAGGTGTTTTCCAATCATGCTCTCAGTTCCTTGTGATGCTCTCTGAGCTTGATTATTTGCTTGAAGATGTTTCATTACCTAACTAGGTAACATCAGAACTCCACTAGGGTGCAGGTGACAGAAGGGAGAGATCTGTAGCAACCTCTTGCTGTTTTAATAATAGTGCTCTCCATGTGGTTCTCAACAAACATGAACAAAAAATACAACATGATTCTTTTCCAAAGAGGTTTTGGTATACATCAGTGAGCTTTAGAACTGCTTAACCCTTCCGAATCCTAGATATGAGACTCTAGGAATTGTAATGTTTATGGAAGAATAAGGAGCTTTGTTAGAAAAATATCAGCCAATCAGGTATCCGTTGTCCTTTACGTTCTTTTGGAAAAGTGATGAGACATTAAGTTTCAGTATTTACTGTGGAGGGGCATCTTATGTAAAGTCTTTCATTAGTATAGTATTGGCACTTATTTTACTGTTAAGAAAAAAAGTTAAGTTCCTCATGCCTGCTCTACATATATATCTGAAGGTTACTTCGGTTGAAATCTGCAGGGCAAACTTTTAAGTCACTATACATAAGAACTACAATAAAAAGCAGGGAACTGAACCCAAAATACTGAAGTGATTTGATTCTGTGTGGTCTCGCTTGCAAAGTGGAATTGTAAATCTTTTAGAAAAAGCCTTTCAAACTCATGATTAAATTAAAATTATAGTTTGAATCCAAAAATTGTACAATTTTTCATGTAAATCAAAAT